TTCTATTTGTGATGAGTATGTGTCTAATGTTAAGACTGATGCTTTTACTTGTGATGATTTGATGTCTAAAACTGATGATTCTGAAATTGTGGTGTTGTTTTTGAGAAACCTGCCAAATCTGATGGTGCCAAATCTGACACTAACACATCCACACCTTCTACATCTATCACACAATCTAACTCCTGAACGTGCACATGTGGGAAAGTTAGAAAAATAGATAAGAGCATTAAATCTGATAAGGGCGGTATCACGTCTAGTGATAATAAGCAAATTTGTTTCAACTGTGGTACTACTGGTCACATCGCTCGAAATTATCCCAATAGGGCATTTGTGCATTTTTCCTCACCAAGGAGAGAGAACGAGTCTCGAGGAAGGTCTTTAACTAGAAAGTCCTCGAGATCTCGCCCTCAAGATGATGATTAGAAGGTTAATCATAACAAAACAAGGGTCGTTTTTAAATTAAATAAACAGATTTTCACTAAATCAGCCGCAGGTGCTTTGCCGAAATCGAATGCGACTAAGTCAAAATCGATTTCGTCAAAGGGTGCGTCTGGATCTTCGACTAATTTTAGCCGGAAATCTAAACGCTCAAAGCTAAAGAAAACCATTTCCAAATCACCTGTGAAATCTTTAAAACCTAAATACCAGTGGGTGCCCAAATCTACTTCCGGTCAATCATCATCACCCTCTGAAAGTGTTTCCAATAATGGTACAAAATCAGAAAGTACAAAGGATAAATCTGTGAATGTTAACGGTCAACCCAGTGTTGTAATGACCTGGGTCCCCAAATCTAAATAATCCCGCTCATTGTGCAGGGACAGTTGCGGAGGAATGTCGCCAGACCCTGGTATGTCGACAGCGGCTGTTCCCAACATATGATAGGAGAAATCTCCCAGCTAAACGACATTCAAACTTTTAATGGGGGATATGTTTCCTTTGCGGTAGGTGAAGGCGGAAAGATCACTCAAAAAGGAACAGTATCAAATGGAGTGCTGAGTTTCGAGAATGTGAACTACGCTCCCGAGTTAAAGCACAGCTTGTTGAGCGTTTCTCAAATTTGTGACAAGGGTTATTCAACTCATTTCACTGATAAAGAATGTCTGATTCTGAAGCCATGCATTGTCATCCCAGATGACTGGATTCTTGTAAAATCAAAACAGGATGGCAATGCATACATCATTGACATGAACAATAATATTCCAGAACAAGTCACTTGCCTCTTCTCAAAAGTCTTCGAACAAAATGCTATGTTGTGGCACCGAAGACTTGGACATGCTAACACAAAGAACCTGAATCGTCTTGCTAAGAATGACATGATGCGTGGACTTCCTATCAGAGACTTCATCACATTTGAAAAGTGTGTGTCATGTGCCCAAGGAAAGCATCATAGAAAACCACACTTACCAAAACAGGTCAATTCAATCAACCAGGTGCTCCAATGATTGCATATGGACTTATTTGGTCCGGTCAATGTCCTTAGCATCAACATAAATTTGTATTGTCTAGTTGTGATCGATGACTTCTCGCGTTTTACGTGGGTCTTCTTCTTGTCCAACAAAGTTGGGGTTGCAGATCTGATTAAGAAGTTCATTGTGATGATAGAGAACCAAACCAATCACCGGGTGAAGGCGCTTCGAACTGACAATGGGACAGAATTAAAGAATGCTGTTCTTGATCATTTTTTGCGCAGAAAAAGGGATCATGTGTCAATATAGTTTCGTTCGCACACCTCAACAAAATGGTGTTGCTGAACGGAGAAATCGAACATTGCAAGACGCTGCAAGGACGATGCTATGTGACTCCAAGCTACCAGTTTTCTTTTGGGCTGAGGCGATCAACACAACTTGTTTTGTTCAAAATCGTGTTTTGACCAACAAAGCCCAGATGAAGACTCCATACGAAATTCTCTACGGTCACAAGCCATCTATCAGTCACTTCCGCATTTTTGGCTGCCCTTGCACCCTTCTTCACCTGGAATCCAACCCAAAATTCAATGCCAAAGCTGATGACTATTACTTTGTAGGGTATGCTGCTCGCACCGCGTATAGGGTCTACAATAAGAAGACAAAGCAAATCGTATAATCCTTCGATGTGCGCTGGTTGGAAAAGAACGAGACGGATGCTATAGTAGGTCCTGATTGGTTGTTTGATTACACATCTTTATTCAAATCTTTCAATGTGTTTTCAAATAGTTTCTCTGGTTCTATTTCTGGTTCGAAGAATGTGATTGAATATGAAGATGGAGAAGTTGTTTACAGACCACCGGTAGTGTCTTCTACGATTCCTACGGTGGATGCATATGTTCCAATTACTTGTCCAGAATCTCCTAGTCAACAAAACAATCCAGATGCTGATGTCACTCCTCTTACTCCCGATGAAAGAGAGTTTATGTCCAGAGATGCTTCCGCTGCTACTCAAACATTTATGGAACTTCTCTTTCCCGATCTGATCACTAATGAGTTTGTGGCAAGCCCTTCTAACGAGTCAACATCGTCTGAAATGGACCATTCAGCAGATGATGGATTTGTCAATATTCACAACCTTCCCGTCTCGCTCAATGACATTAGCCAGGAGCTTCCTTCCAGAATTCAACGTGATCATCCGATCGAAAATGTCAGTGGTCAGCTGGGCGACGGTGTTCGAACGCGGAGTCAGAGTGGAGATGTCAATACATGTCTTTACTCTTGCTTCATTTCTCAAATAGAGCCAAAGAATGTTGAAATGGTTTTGAATGAGCCCAGCTGGGTGGATGCTATGCATGAGGAATTGAATCAGTTTGAAAAACTTGGGGTTTGGAAATTGGTTGAATTACCTAAGGGCAAGAAGTCTCTTGACACACGTTGGGTTTATCGCAACAAGCAAGATGATTCAGGAGTCATTGTGCGAAATAAGGCTCGATTAGTTGTACACGGATTTCGTCAAATCGAGGGTCTAGACTACACCGAAGTTTATGCTCCGGTGGCACGCTTGGAGGCTATTCGTATTTTCTTAGCGTATGCCTCCTACATGAACTTCACGGTTTATCAAATGGATGTCAAGACTTCCTTCTTGTACGGCGCGGTGAAGGAAGAAATATACGTTGATCAACCTCCTGGGTTTGTTAACTCAAAATTTCCCAATCATGTCTACAAGTTGGACAAGGCTTTGTATGGGCTACATCAAGCTCCACGAGCATGATATGTCACTCTTACGAAGAATTTGCTCGAACATGGCTATTCACGAGGCACAATTGATCAAACTCTTTTCATCAAGCATGTTTGTGCTGATCAAATTCTTGTTCAGATCTACATTGATGACATTATTTTCGGGTCCACGAGTCCTCAGCTCTGCAAGGAGTTTGAAGTCGTAATGAAGAAGAGGTTTGAGATGAGTTCACTTGGAGAAATGACCATGTTTTTGGGGCTTCAGGTCCAACAAAAGTCAACCGGTATCCTGCTACATCAAGCCAAGTATGTTGAAGATATGCTGGAGAAGTTCGGGTTTCGAGACGCAAAACCTGCACTGACGCCAATGGCCGAGAGACCCCTATTGAATCCGGATATTGATGGCGAATCCGTAGATCAGTCTGACTACAGATCGATGATCAGATCGTTGATGTATCTAACCGCAAGCAGGCCAGATATTATGTTTGCGGTTTGTCAATGCGCACGATATCAGGCTAATCCTAAACTTTCACATCTTATTGCTGTCAAAAGAATTTTTCGGTATCTCAAAGGCAGCCCAAAATTGGGTCTTTGGTATTCGAAAAATTCTGAATTTGATTTATATGCTTTTGCTGACAATAGTTATGGAGGCTGTGAGCTTGACAGGAGATCAACCTCTAGTGGGAGTCAATTTCTTGGTGACCGACTGGTGTCATGGCAGTGCAAGAAACAGCACACAGTCTCAACCTCAACAGCAGAAGCGGAATATGTTGTTGCTTCTGCCTGTTGTTCTCAAGGTATCTGGATCCAACATCAACTGTTGGATTATTGTTTGAATTATCTAGAAACCCCTATCTTTTGTGACAATGATGCTGCAATTCAGATAACTAAAAATCCAGTCCAACACTCGAAAACCAAGCACATCGATATCAAAATACATTTTATCTGAGATTGTTATGAGCGCTCGCTCATTCGGTTGGAACAGGTTCCCACTACTAATAATGTGGCGGACCTGTTTACAAAACCGTTTAACAAAGCTCGATTCGATGTGCTTGTGGGATTTTTGAAAATGATACGCTTTGAGGACTAATTTTTTTTAGGATAGTTTAAATTTGCGCACACTACTAGAAAAACAGCCTTTTACGACGCGCAATGTGTGTCGTAAAACGCTCAGACGACGCGCAAATACGTGTCTATTTACGACGCCCATTTACGACGCGTATTTATGACACACATTTACGACGCGTAGTTATGACACGCAATGCGTATCAAGGAAGGCCCTGTCATAAAGGAAGACGACACGTATTTGCGTGTCGTAACCTTACGACGCACATGTTTATGACACGCAATGCATATCAAGGAAGCCTCTGTCATAAAGGAAGACGACACGCATTTTTGCGTGTCATAATTTTAAATGTGTTTAAAATTATATATTTTTGATAGATTTACTAATTTTCAAATTAAATAACACATTAAAAGTCTCATAATACAAAATAAAATACCATAAACAATAAAGATAATTCATTGCACTAATATGTCAAATACAAATAATCATTCCAATAGTAAGTAAATGTAATACATTGCTAATATTGCATTAATATTTATTATATAAAACAAAACATGTACAACATTAAATGAAACCCATGACTAAATTCTCCTTTCACAATCTCCTTTGACAATTTGCTTTCTAAAAGAATAACCTGAATGCAGGAACTTTGAGAGGCTCCAGGGCATGGAAGGAGGTTGTTAGAGCTGTCAGAACCTGCACATGGAAAATGGTAACTAAACATGCAATACAATACAAGATGATATGATATGATAGAGCTGGTTGGTTCATCAAGTGCAAGTATTCTACAGTTAAGGCAAAAGGTTTCTGCTAATTCCAATCTAATGATAAGTGAAGCAAGCACCTGAGATCAATTGAAAATAGATTTGTGAAATTCCTTCAATCCAAAATACAATGGGAATGGGTAATTAGAGATGATGGCAAACCTTTTGACCTGCACTGCACCTTCCTCGCATTTCAAGCTCAGCATCACCAGCTTGCATAACAACCTGAACTTACAATCAACCATAAACATTAGGGTTGGGTTAAAATGTGAGATTGTTGCAGTGAGCTGTTATCCTCAATTATTTACTTTATGCAGTGTGCAGGCTTGATGTTGGTTTTTTTTGTAAAAATCAAAAAAACAAAAAACCAATAAAATTAAAAAATTAAAAAAAATGAAAAAATAAATCATCACCTTTAATGGATCTGGCACAAGGCTCTGAACAGGGATATCTGAAAGTTCAAGATTTAAACAACGTTCTCTAGCAAGAATTATCACCTGCAATATTGATTCACCATTATAATTTATAATTTAAAATTTAAAATACCAGATTTTTATTTATATATTTGTATAGAAAAAATAAAAAATAAAAAATAAAAAATAAAACTTTTTGGCTACATCTGTCCCAACAAGATCATCCCCTGGGGTCTGGCTCAGTGTAACCTACTGCTTTTGCCTCCATCACTACTTCACTAAAGGCTCTTGCATCAACAAAATTGTTGAATATATAACTCAATGTCCCACTGCAATCACATAAATAAATCTCTCACTTACGATTTTAAAATATAACAGGGGTATAATGGTCTTTTAACATATAAATAAGGGAATTGACCTGAAAATTCCTTCAATGAGTACTCACTGTTTTGATGCTGCTAACATATAAACATCCTGTTGAATATATAACTCAATGTCCCACAACCACAGGTCATGCTTTTAAAATGGTTTTGGTGATATAATAGATTTACTATATTGTAAATTGTAGGTTCTTAAGAGATAAGTAAAATGGGAATAAGTACAGAAACTGAGAATAAACATAATGTAAACAATGCTTTTAGTGTTTTCAAAAAAAGATAAAAAAAAGTTACCCTTCTGGTTGTGGCTGGATAGAAGGCAAACTTGTCCTTAAATTGGCTTTGGGTCTTTGCTGTGTTGTATTAGGAACTGGTTTTGATCCCACTTGCATCCTTTTTTTTTATAAGACTTATATCTAGTATCATCTTGCCTCATAGTTTCAACAGTTATAACTTGGTCTTCAACAACTATAACTTGGTGGAGATGCACTCCCCGCAGTGGTGTGAACTATTTCAGTACAGAGATCCCATTAAAAAGTCGCTCTAGTTTTTCTAAGTGGTCTGCAGAAAAGAACAATTAACATCAGCAATATAGGCATGTGATCTGACTACATAAATTAGCAGTTGAAATCATAAACTTAAATGATGATATGTTCATCTTTATATAGAAAAAACTATGGTAGCCATTTAAGGTATGTTATGCTTCATAAAGAGGCCAAAAACTCCTCAAGAAGACAGTAGTTAAAACAAGTCAAGAATAATTTAGTACATTGAATCATAAAATAAGATCAAACTTACCTTGAATGAGTTTTTTTCTAATCCAAGCTCTTCCACTGTCTTGAGAATAGAAAGTGATACCTGTTGGTTCAGGCCCTAGACTCACCCTTTTAACACTAATCAAAACAGCAATTTCTGTATATATATTATCTTTGAAAGAGACTGATTACACACCCTTAAAACAAAAAAAAACAAACTAACCTATTTATAGACTATAAACTAACCTGTTGATTCTTGCCCGCTATTTCTTGCTGCTTGCTTTGCTTCTGCTGTTCTTTCTTCTGATCACCAAACATGATCATCCTTCCTACTTGCTTTCATTCTTTCTTTTGATCACCAAACGTTATTGGACTTGCTTCTTTCATTCTTGCTGCTTACTTTCTTCCTCTCCACACGCTTGCTATCTTCGGGATCACACCAACACAGTCGGACTGTCAACACCACTGTGAGTCGGAACTTGGATTCTGCACTCAACTTCTTCCAACTCCTTAAACTCTCACAGATCGATCTCACTCAATCACTCATCACGCAGATGCAAATTTAATCACACAGATTCTAGGTTTTGAACTTGGCTCACACAGAGCTTGGCTTTCACTGGACTCTATGGTTCACATAGAACCTCTTCAATGATCCCACGTGTTGAGCCTAGCCAATTGTTGGTTCAGGCCCTGGACTCACCCTTTTAACACCAATCAAAACAGCAATTAAAATATAGGTTTGAATAAAACGATATTGTACTTTGTTTAATTTACCTAATTATAAAATTAGCATTACCCTTTTTTTCTTATCGAGACATTATACTTTGATGAATCTATCCATATTTCACATCAGACTTTCCTTTTTTCCCTTATTATATAACATTGTATTTTTTTTGCTTATTAGGACTTTGTACTTTGAAAATCAATCCAATTATTACATTCTTCATTTTCTTAAAATACCTAAATTAATTTTCATGGGCTGTACTTAGCACAGTCCTTAAAAGTTAACTGGTATATATATATATATATATATATATATATATATATATATATATATATATATAAACTTATTAATTTTTTAAACATTTGTATTAAGTTAAAAAGAAACACACCTTTTGTATTAATTGGTTTTGTAAGTGACTATCAATATGAATAGATAATTTGACTTCAAAACTCCTTAATCTTGTTTGTATTAATTAGTTTTGTAACTATGAACATGAATAGATAATTTGACTTCAAAACTGCACTGTTGTATTTATATATGCTGTTTGATTGTGGACCATAATTGAAAATTTATTTTAATTTGCCTGGTAGAATAATGCCTAGTTCTGCTGTGCACAACTGTCTAACGGTTCTGTACCGATTGGTGCATCACTCACTGCCACACCCGACATCAGACCATGGCTTTCATCACTCAGACCAGTGCCAGCACAGGAAATGCCAACAGCCATGGCTGCCCCATAGCAGACATGTGGGTTGTAAGATTCCGACAGCAGGGAGATGATACGTGGAGTCTGAAGCAAAAAATACCAACTTTAGTTTTATAGGAAATGGAATCTCAAATTCCATCCTTTAACAGAATTGAATTCAGGAGATTCTTTCAAAATCCATGTTATGTTTGAGCAATTTCAGTGGGTGGAAGGGGAATTATACTCCATTCTTTATTTTTATTAAAAGACTAACATGCCCCTGTTATAAATATTGAAATAAACAAATACTACAAAATATTGAAATTAACAACTGAATTCCAGATTATTTAGTTTTTTTTTAATTACTATATTTCGTTTTCTTGCAAACTCATTGCTTATTATTTCCAAAAACATTCTGCAAACCAAACACCCTTGAGAGAATTATAATTTGTTAGAAAATGAAATGGAATCCAATAATTTTTTAAAATCAAAGTCGCGTACATAACATACACATACACATACACATACACAGACTCATAAAAGATACCTGACATCATCTGGTATCCAGAAGATGTTCGGATGGTGCCTACAGGATCCAAAGTTGAGCTACTTCGTGAAAGTGGACTCGTACTCACTGATCCTCGGGGCACATAGGTATGGAGATCAGGATCCATTTCGGGTGTTGCATCAGGTTTTATGAATGATACAGGTAACTTCATGATTTTTGGTAGCAATCCAAGCAAGATATGGAGTAGTTTTGATTATCCAGCAGACACACTGTTTCCTACTCAGGTTATATTGAGAGGTGGAGTGATCATTTCAAAAATGAGCAAAACAAACTTTTCTGGTGGACGATTCTTGTTTCAACTTCTTGAAGATGGGAATCTTGTTCTTAATACTCGAGATATACCCACAGGTAATGTTTATGATGCTTATTAGCATTGGGAAGCACACTCACCACCAACCACTAACAGGAAACTCTATATCAGAAAGCCTACAAGAATACATACTTCTTCTTCATTGATCCCTCGGAATCTAAAAAGACGGATACGCCCTCACACCTCATAAAGCATTCACCTGTTGAAAGATGCAGCTAAGTTGTCTTCATATTGCCATTTCCATGGATTCCCACTATCAGTCCCACTAAAAGCTTGATTTGGGACTGGCATGTTACCCAAATCCACATCTAAACTCATCTGTTGTACTTCAGAATACGACAGTATCTTTATGCTTTGAACACAACTCACAAATTCTCTGTTAAAAAAAAGGTAAAAGTCATGACCATATAAAGAATTACAGAAGGAAAATATGAAGTTTAGCGACTTACTCTCATGGAAGTCCAGTCAAAGGTGGGTCAACAGAAACAGGATACCATCTGATGGCTTTTAGTTCAGACCAAAACTCGTCTCCTGGCATTTCATCGAACAGCTTGGCTACATAATCTTCATGAAATGCATCAGGAGTGTTTCTTGAGTAGTTATCTGCTTCATCATCTGGCCCAAACTCATTAAAACTGAATTCTACTTCCTCAGTTGAAAACTTGAGTGCCAATGCATCTAAACAACCAAGTAGTCTCTTTCCATTTACAACAACCTCTGGTTCCATTTTATCATGCAACATAGACACCGATTTAGCAGAATCAAGAAAACCATGGATGCCTCGGGCTTGCTTTAGTCCAAGGGTAACTAGCATCTCCAAAGTTTCAGGATCAGAGAATTTGTTAGAAGGGAAGAACAAATCCTTGTGCAGAAATTTTTCTAACTCGGGTATACGAGGATCATATAGCTTGTAAAAGATAGAAGATAAATCATCTTTACACTAGAATCAAACACTAAACTGTATTTTATATATATATATATATATATATATATATATATATATAATAATAATGGAAATGTATTTAGAATATACCTTTATGGTTCTTGCAAAGATCTAGTATTAGTAAGAACAAAGGGAGTCATATGAATCGTCTGAATCATTATATAGATATATCATATGTTTCTTCGATTTCCTGCTTCTAATCCTAGAACTTGAACGATAGCTCTTCTTCCTCCTCCTTGACCTGGAATCATATGAATCGTCCGAATCATTGATGAGAAGAACTTGAAGATGAAAGATGGAAACAGAGGTGGAGGAGAATAAGGGAAACCATATACAATAAAAATGAAGGCCAAATACCGCCTAAGAAGTGATCGATGCCAAAAAAATAGGGGGGAAACTAAAATCGCATGAGAGAATTCATGAATTTTAGGGAAAATACCACCGGTTGTTTGGGGTTTTTCTTAGTAGCGGGATTTTTCATAATTCTTTTGGGATTTCATTCTGTAATTTTTGGGAGTGCAATTCGATCATCGATGGTAGAAGGGTCTTTACAGAGAATGAAGATCTAGAGGAGAGGGTGAGGATGTGTATCACGGGTGGTTTAAAATAGTGATGGGGGTTTTGTTATAGGTGTAGTGCGACAGGAAAGAATGGTTGGAGAAGATGGTCGGAGACACTTGGCGGTGCGATATCGGAGGTTGGGTGGTGGTGCGATGCTGCTATGAAGACGAAGGCGTAGGGCTTTTTCTTGCTAATTGGGGGGGGTTACTTTTTGGGATTCAATAGGCGGGTGAAATCTCGCCTTAAAAACGTGTGTTTCGTTAAAATGTTATAAAGCGACACATTTAGATGACGCACATTTTATGAAAGGCGCCCTCCGCATTTCCTTTTTTTCTTTTCTGACACTAACTTTAGGGCACGCACAAATGCGTGTCCTCTATCCTTCAAATTTTGCAAAATTGACATTATTTTTTAGGGAACACACAAATACGCTTCCTCTATCAGCGAGTGTCATTATTTGCGCGTCATTAAAGGGCTGTTTTCTAGTAGTGGCATTATATTTTCATTCTCATCCATGCACAAGTTTAGGGGGAGAAATAAACAAAAACCAAACAAAAATCAGAAAATTTGAAAAATTCAAAAATAGTGTTATTCCTGTTTTACTTTTGTAAAGAAAAATATGAAAATTCAAAAAAAAAATTATATATATATATATATATATATATATATATATATATATATATATATATATATATATATATGTGTGTGTGTTTTTAATGAAGTTTGCTTGCAGGTAATGAAATGGGAAGTGATATCAACTCGTGTGATAACAGACAATTAAAATTTGTGTAAAGTACCAAAGCTAAATTGTCTAGACTCTGTGTTCGATGTGCTGGTAGGCACGAAAGATTTAAATGGACTTGACTAAGGTATAGATGAACTTAAGGAATCTAGAGATTTGACAAATCTTAATTTAGTTAGTTCCATTTAGCCTGTCAATATGATGCTTGGGTAGATTGAGCAGGGAGATATACATGATAATCCACCGGTCACACTAAGTAATCCGTATCTAGAACCGTGGTTTAACTCTTCCTCGATGTACGAACTCTGTCCTTAATTCTGGTATTGATGGGGCGACTGGGGAATTCCGATAAAGTAGGTCTGTAGGAAATTATTTTCTTGCTTCCTTTCTGTTAATCATATGTTTCCTCCTCTGTGTGATTGAAATACATCCAACCTGGACTGCAACATATGCAATTCTATTTCTCTGCATCTTCTATCTATGCAATTCTTCCTATCTGTCAGCCATATGATGTCTCCTTTGTGTGATTGAAATACATCCGACCTGGTACACAACATATGCACCATTCTACCTCTCAATCCCTCTAAATCTGGTCAGTCATATGTTTCACCCTCTGCGAGATTGGAAGAGATTCGACTTGGGTGTATAGCATATGCATTCTAAATCTGACTTCTCTCATAATAATTGTCTGCTCACCTAAAGTAAGGAGTACTTTGGAAGTTCCTGATTATTGGGTATGTCAGGAAGCGGGAAACATGTTCTAGTACAGTTAAAATTGAACTATC